CGTGCACGCAAAGGACCAAACTTTGACAGCTAATGGATGGCTAATTCATGTTTGTTCTAACTTATACCCATATTGGATTACTTTCTCGACAATAAAACCTCTCACTCAATTTTAGCATTGGTATGACCATCGACTTTCCTGGAATCCTGAGGAATACGGTGGAGTGAGGCATTTCCATCTGCCTGGGGAAATGATTTGGCTACCAGACATCATCCTCTACAACAAGTTGATTTTCGCTCCCGATTATCCCTGCCTCTCGAATAACCCCTTTTTAGTGCACACGGCAGTCCATGGGTATCAGTGATCACAAAAGCGGAAGTTTACCATGATGGCAGAGTGGTGAGCCATCTATAATTTCTATCCTCTAAAAATTTTATGAAATCGTGTCCTCTTTGCTAGACTTGGATTCCACCCGTCGTCTATCACTCATTCTGTACGATTAACATCGAATGGTATCCATACGATATTCAGCAATGTGAACTGAAATTTGGCAGTTGGACTTATAGCGGTACACAACTCGATTTGATGCATGTAAGTGAAAAAAATTCCAACTTTTTATGCAATCCACTTGACAGAAAGTCTCGTGTATTGGCGAGCGAAATATCATCTGCACATCGCAAACAAGAAACTATAGCAAAGTTTTCAAACAACTTCTCTCTAAGCAAAGCTCTATTAGATTAACTAACATAGCTTTGGGAAACGCAAGGAATATCGAGAAAATGAAAAAATCCAAAAAAAACTTCTTCTTCAGTCTTAAACTTTATATAAGCTCGCCGAAGATAATTTAAATATGTTCTGGCAATCGCAGAATAGTTCCAGTCTAAAAGGCGTACAATTTGGAACAATCTATTTTTGCAAATTTAAAAGCAATAGGATGCGGTTGTAGTGACTGTCCTATATTTATTGTAACATAGTTGTACTTATAGACATTCGTTTGTATCTATATCTATTCTCGCGCTATACAAAAAGCTCTTTCAATAAGAATAAATCACTTTTGTCTGAGAAATGCAAAATCATTGTGTCTCAATATTAAGTTTTACCCTGATCAGA